AGCATGTAACTGGGAAATTATATTAAACATTACACTGAAAGATACTAAGAGATTAGCAGGATGTTAACGTGAGAAATTAGCATGTAACTGGGAGATTATCATGATGTTAATGTGAGGAATTAGCATGTAACTGGTCACGGAAGTAGCTATGTTAAAGTCAGAGTTTACATATCAACAGAGGCATTTAGTATATTTACGCTAAAGAACTGCAAATACCCAACTATCATACAATAAACCGATGTGAAAGAACTAAATATAAACTACATCAATATAATCAATGTACTCAATATATTCTCCACTAAGCTGAGCTACTAACAATAAGTCATTATACATTACACTTCTACGTCGCAAAATTATTATAATATGCCTCCAACTAATCTTTTATTATAAACTGCCATAGACAGACTCCAACAGTGAATTATACATTGCGTTTCTATACACTACCTTAGGTTATAATATTAGACTTGATTTATTGTGTTTTACGGTGACTTTCAGACCGCAGTCCATTCGCTGGCACTGCCTCTTAGTACCTTTCACACGACGGTCAATAGTATAGTTTATAGCAGATTGTATAATAATAAATAGTATAAGTGTAATGTTTAATATAATTTATAAGGTAATATATAGTATCGTAATTGTATAGTGAATATACAGCAGTGTGGTATACAGTAGGGTTGGTATAATAATACAGTGTAATATTATAAGTCTAATATTATTATAGTCTAAAGTATAGGGTAGTGTATAGTAACGCAGTGTACAATTCAATGTTGGGGTCTGTCTATGGCAGTTTATAATACGGGGTATAGTCGTGTGATGTAAGAAAAAAAGATTAGTTGGAGGCATATTATAATAATTTTTGCGACATAGAAGTGTAATGTATAATGACTTATTGTTCGTAGCTCAGCTTATTGGAGAGTATATTGAGTATATTGATGATATTGATGTAGTTTATATTTTTTTTCTATCGGTTCACTATATGGTAGTCATATAGTGTAGTGTATACCCAGTTACTTAATGTCAATAGTTTAACTTAGTGGATAATATATTGAGTACATTGATTATATTGATGTTAGTTTATATTTAGTTCTTTCACATCGGTTTATTGTATACTAGTTGGATAGTTGCAGTTCTTTAGCGTTAATATAATAAATGCCTCTGTTGATATGTAAACTGACTTAATCATAGCCACTTCCGTGACCAGTTACATGCTAATTTCTCACCTTAACATCCTGCTAATCTCTTAGTAACTTTTAGTGTAATGTTTAATACAATTTATTTTGTAATATATAGTATCGTAATTGTATAGTGAATATACAGCAGTGTGGTATACAGTAGGGTTGGTAAAATAGTGTAATATTACAAGTCTAATATTATAATCTAAGGTATACGGTAGTGTATAGTAATGCAGTGTATAATTCAATGTTGGGGTCTGTCTATGGCAGTTTATAATAAAAAATATTAGTTGGAGGCATATTATAATAATTTTGCGACGTAGAAGTGTAATGTATAGTGACTTATTGTTCGTAGCTCAGCTTAGTGGAGAATATATTGAGTACATTGATTATATTTTGATTTAAAGCTTTCGTGACTGCAGTAATTCATATTCTTAGCTCTTTCGGTAAAGTCACGTTGAAGGGTAACAATAAAATAATAAAATATATATAAAACAATAAAAATTCTCACGACGTTTCGACCATAACACAAACGGTCGTCATCAGGTGTGTCGGTTTGCATAAACGTGACTTTACCGAAAGAGCTAATATATACATTGATTATATTGATGTAGTTTATATTTATGCCTTTCACATCGATTTATTGTATGATAGTTGGGTAGTTGCAGTTCTTTAGCATCAATAAACGCTAAAGAACTGCAATTACCCAACTGACTTTAACATAGCTACTTCCGTGACCAGTTACATGCTAATTCCTCACATTAACATCATGCTAATCCCCCAGTTACATGCTAATCTCTCACATTAATATAGCAACTTCAAAGCTAAATTCTTCTGTTGATATGTAAACTCCTTTGTCAAGGCGCTCTGCTCCTCCCACCCAGCTTAAAAGACGCTGCCAAGCTTAGCAGTGTTCATTAAAGCGCTGTCTTTCCTACAGTTCTGTTTCTTCACCTGAGAACGGGTGGTCGTGTTGTGGCCGATACGTCGTGAGAATGTTATTTTATGTATTAGTTTTATTATTTTATTATTTACCTTCTACGTGACTTTACCGAAAGAACCAAGAAGATGAAACGGATGAGTCGAGATTTGATCTGTACGTGTCTCTGAAGCCCTGACCTCGAAGATGCTACGAGTTCGAGTTTAGGTGCCGCAGTTGCAAACGCACCCCCCCTCCCCCCCCCAAATTGTGTCGCCGAGAGAACGTGGACCAGTGACCAATTCACAATCTTACGACCCCCACCACTCACAAAAAGGGGATTGTGGGTCAGGTGGTGTGGGGGCGAATCGTGGTGGCGGCAACCGCCTCAAAAAAACTTGCTGTGCAACACATTCGTGGCCCTGGGGTGGGGTGGTGGTGGGACATGGCACGTGTAACCGCACACAGAAGATTCCTGTGAACGCCGTCATTGACGTCGAACAAAAAAAACCCAGTGCCGAGCATGCAGATTGCAGAGCTCAAGCCGCGACTTGCACCGAAGCCAGTGAATGGACGGCACACTTTGTAGGGCAGTTAAGACTTGCGGGTCGTTTGCGATGGAATAAAGTGTGGGTATCCCTCCTCCTTTGGTTCTTTCGGTAAAGTCACGTAGAATGAGAATAAAATAATAAATTGATAAAATAAAATAACGCAATAAAATTCTCACGACGTTTCGGCCACAACGCAAGCGGCCTTCATCAGGTGAAGGGACGAGACTGTCTGGAGGACAGCGCTGGAGCGAAAAAACCACGCTCAGATCGCGACCTTTAAGCTGTGCGAGAAGAAACAAAGCGCCTTGACAAAGGAATTAGCATAGAATTTAGCATTGAAATGGCTGAGTGATTAGCTTGTGACTGGTCACAGAAATGGCTATGTTAAAGTTAAAGCATACACATCCGCAGAGGCACCCCTTGACAAAGGAATTAGCATAGAATTTAGCATTGAAATAGCTAAGTTAAAGCATACACATCCGCAGAGGCACCCCTTGACAAAGGAATTAGCATAGAATTTAGCATTGTAATAGCTAAGTTAAAGCATACACATCCGCAGAGGCACCCCTTGACAAAGGAATTAGCTTTAAATCGAAATTTGTGGGTATCCCGTCCACCTCTTCTAAGACGTCGGAAAGGCGTGAAAGAGTAGGCCAAACTACCATCTAGGGCAGCGACTCTTAACCTTCACTGGCGCCTTGCACTCCTCTTTTTGTCTCAATCGTGAAAGGATGTTAATAAATACAAAGTCTTGATGAAACAAAGTTGGACTTACGTGCCAGTGCTTCATTTGTTTCGGTGATTTACCTTCGAAAAAAAACTTATCCGGCCATGGCCTCGCACCCCAGGTTAAGAACCATTGCTCGAGGGTGCTACCGAGAGCTCCTTCTAGCGGAGGTCTTTAACGCCAGCTGTGGGGAAGCTATTGTGGGGCTGCGCCTTTACCTTCACTTAACGTCGTTATGCAATAACCGCAAATGGATTTTTTTTTCCTCTCTCGCAGCTTTGCTAAAAAGTCAAAGCGCTAGAGTTACACTGCAAACCCGTGGAATCTGACTTGTGGTAAAGATGTGATCGTGTCCATTACGAACAATGGGAGCCATTTACCCAGGCATCGATGCGCTTTGGGTATTTCACCGACGCGTCGGCTTGACCAAAAGGTATCTCCATGCGCACGTTGAGCAATACGGTCACGGCTAAACCACCACTGGCGCGCGCTTCTGAGCCAGAGGTGAGAATTCCACATTCCCATGGCTGGCCAGTCTATAGGACAACCCACTGCTGACTTTCGTGCGGCTGTAAGCCAATTTTTCAGGAGCAAAAACCAAATATGAAAAATTAATTTTTCAGTTGAGTGGTGTTTGGGAAAAAAAATATTTTCATAAAAACGTACGCGTCAACCAAGTTAAATTAGCCATCAAAATTAACGCATATACAATGCAGTTCAACTCGCCATTAAAATTAACGCATATACAATTGAGTTAAACTCGCCATCAAAATTAGCGCATATACAATGGCGTTCAACTAGCCATCAAAATTAACGCATATACAATGGAGTTCAACTATTATCAACACGGATTTGTAAAAATCAAAAGGTGCACAATGGGCCGTGTATTTTTTTTATGTACACTGCCTCTGAGGTTATCATCCTTAGGTGATGTTAATTTTACTTTACTGCCATATTAATTACCCAATGTACCAGACAAATAAAAAAATGTTTCTACACTGTAATTTTCACCCACACTCGTGTTTCCTGACGATTAAATATTCTATTTACCCACAAAAGCCACACCCATTGGACCAAAAAAACCCCCACACATTTGGCAACAACGCAATTTCTGCCAAAATTTTAAAGGATATACTAAGATTTAGAAAGGGCTTGCACTTAGACTTTTGATCAAATGATTGTATGCAGTACAATAGAGACATGCAATCGATAAACCAACTGTCACCGCACATTAACGCTGCATATACGTTCCTGATAATCAGTGGCATTAACATAAAAACAAGGTTGCCCTTGTTAATATAAAAAAACACCAGGGTGTGTTGTATTCTCAAGGGCCCACTGGCTAATGGATTAGATGCATTTAATTTGATTACTGTTGATAGAGCACTTGATTCTGACAGGATTGTTCAAATATTGGTTGGTAGTCGAACCAGCCCCTCGTGTTTTTATGGGTTAATACAATGAATGACTTGTGGGAAATACAGTTGCCAGTCCACGGAGGGAAATCCACACCACAGAAATGTGGAATTTCCACCAAAAGGGAGATGGAGAGCATATGCTCATTTGCACAAGGAATAACACTGAATTAGAATGTGGGGCGTTTAATTGCCACAAAACCATGCGGAGCAGTGTTTTCAACATGTTTCCCAAATCAATTTATTAAGTATAAAACATGGGCACAGTAAAATGACACAGACAGCTTGTTTCTCATTCGGTACATGCTACAACGTTAGGACGCAGGGCAGAGGGACAAGGGGGAGGGTGGTGGTGGGAATTCGGGAGAAGAGAGCAAGAGGGTGGTGCCGAATGCTATAAACGGCACACGCATTAACAAAAAGAGAGAGAAAAACTAAACAATCCTGAACGAAGCTGTACAGTTCAGACCCCCATATCGCTTGTACAAAAAACGACATCTACCGTTCGACTGAACTGTAGTGTAAAGTTAAAAAAATGATTCACTTCACACGAGAGAGAAATAATAATAATATTAATAATAAACCAAAACGATGTACGTGAAATTATTTATTTTCCTTGGAATTGGCTGGAAAAAAAAAACACACAAAAAACTTGTTTTTATATCATTTAGCATTAATACCATCGCCATCAACGTATGAAAAAAAATAAACCCACATTATATTAACGAACATCGCCCCCCCCCCGACCCCGCCCCCGTTAACCATTCACCGCACAGGTCTGCAGCACAAAGCGCCTCGTCCTTCCCAAGCAACCTGGGGGGGAGGGGGGCAGCCTTGGGGCTGGCGACAGGGGCCTTCGCGCTCTTAAAACCACCCAAATCCTTGACCATTCTCCCACATCCTGGGAGAGATGCACGCGCCAGCAAGTATGGATGTGCAAAATAAATCCGAGGCGATGAAGGGAGGAGGGGGGAGGGGGAGAGGGGAGGGGGCTTAAAATGGTTTACTAAAGAAATAAATTGGATTTTAAAAAAAAAATCTATTTTTTTTTTAGATTTTTCTAACAATCCGTAGAAACTTTGGAAGTAATGTTCGTTTTTCAAATAATTCGCTCTAAAAATTACAATGTTTCGCATTACGTGTTTCATAATTGTGCCCATTATGAGCAACTTGAGATGTGGTTATATACTCGTGTAATCTTAGACATTACATCAATCAAATCCGCGACCACATTCAACGCGCCAAGATAACCATGAGACGATAATCGCTCTATCAGCACCGGGGGGAACGATAAAAAAGACCCATGCAAACAAAGCTCATTCACCAGAGAAACAAAAATTAACCCTTCACCCCCCCCACAATGAAGCTTACACCAGTTTGTCACAACAACAAAACGTTGGCTCATTAAGAATTAATGAGGCGAGAGATACAATGTTATGTGGGGGGTCAGATTCCGCAGGTGTCTAGGACTGGGCACACCCACGCTACTCTTCATAAGCGCAAATGCACACTTCAGGGCCGAGCGATGCAAAGAAATCCTCCAGCGTACCGCAATCCCCATCATTTTACTGCCGGAGGCCATCATTCCCGGACGCCACCGATATTCCACAGGTGCCCGCTCCCAAACTCTGCGCACTGCCAAAACCCGCGGCCGTGACGGCGAAGACGCGTCTGCCTTTCGACACCTCGTCTTACCCCGTCAAGGGCATTCCCCCCCACCCCCCCGCCCCCCCAAATAGATGTGGAATCTCTGCCCAGGAATGAGGGTGTCGAGATGCTCTTTCTCCGAGGCCCTCTCTCCTGCCGAGTTGGTTCGACACATCAGCATTATTTTCGCTTGCGGAAAGATACCGTAGAATGCGCGTGCAAATTTTGGGTTGATTTACGATTGCTTTTTAAAATCAGACCTACGAGGGGAGGTGGGGAGGGGGGGCTTGTTACGAAAAGTTAAATTAGTTTTGTACAAATTCTATATGTTCCAATCGAGAAATGTGGCCTGTAAAAACAAGAATCAATAACCCGTTATACTTTTAAATCAGGTTAAAATTGTCCATTGATACGCGACTGGTGTGTACTTTCCAGCCTCTCAACGACAGGAATTACCTCCTTGGCTGCAACAGAAACACTCCCCCCTGCAACTGGCTCATCGGTGCAAAGGCCGACTAGCAGGTCACCAAACAACCATATAAACCCCTACGCCAAACCGAGGCGACAAATGCCAACGCGGAAATTGCTCGGTGGAAGGAATCGCAGCCGCCTCGGCCACATTGACGGTGCTGCTAATTGCACTTACTAAACAGGTCAAATGTGTTCAACGAACAAGGATGTCTCTCTCGTCGCCTGATGCCGTTTCAAATAATCTACGACAGACGACAAATCGCTCAGCCCTAAAAAAAGCAACGTCGTTTCATTTTGAAGTATTTTTTTTTGCCCCAGCCTCAAAACTCGCAAACAGACCAAACGGAAACGAACCGAAAACAGCGACGGAATTTTTGGCATCAGGCGCACCGTAGATTGTGACAAAATGGTCTCCCCCCCCCCCTCCGATATTCAACGACGATGCCAAATTGGCAACAACCCCAGTGCTGCAAAGAGACTATTGCTAATTCACGTACGCTTTCGCATCGTCGATCAGTAGTAGAGCGAAAACCTTTCGCGGGTGACTTGGGGGGGGGGGGGGAGTCATGCAACATTCAACAACGGGGTCCGGAGGGAGTCTCAAATTTTCGCCGTTGAGGTCACGCTGCCGGCGCGCAGCTCTGCTCAAAAGTTGGGAGAGCGAGCTCTCAAGCTGATAGCCAACACCGCCAAGTCTCCATTAGATTGAGAATGCTGCCAACGCAAGGCTGGTTGGGGGGAGGGGCGAACGCAACGTTATCAAAAATACAATTAAATTGACGCTTCGAAATGATCATTCGAAATGTACATTAATCAATAGCGTGGCCAACGGGCTGTTATCAGGACTGGCAAGTAGGAAGGAGACTGAGAGAGGGAATGGGGGGGGGGTTTGTGGGCGTAGAGGCAGTTGTGTAAAGCACATGTAGCTTTCGCATCACACAGCGTAAAAGCTCTCGCCACAGCTTAGCTCTTACACAGCTGAGGCCGACGCAATGTGAACGTAAAACATATATAGCATGTATACTGTATGAAAGCAAAACAGCTGACGTTTCAAGACCCAAAGAAAATCGTTGAAAAAATCATGGGAGGTTTTTTTTACTTTGGTAGCGAGAGGAGGAAACGAAAGCACTTGCGCGATTTTGGTTCACAGACGGGCGGAGGATTTCAAAACAGGCGCCTCGTCCCCTGCTGGAACGAGCGCGGGCCGGCGCTCATCTTCAAACAGCCGCTCTGGGAATTGCGCCACCCTGCGGCCTATCCACGGTACAAACACCATAATGTAACAAACCCTGAATATTTAATGGGGCCCGAGTCTACCCAGCCACTGGGATTTAACGTCTGAAAACCTCGCGGCTCCCGAGTTAAAGGCTCTAACCGCGGCAACCACCACATTGTGCATTTTGCCTGCGACCTCCCCTCTCCCACAACGATCCACTTCCTTCTCCCATGTTTTTTTCAGAAACACAAATCTCGCAACACATTACGGACGACCTGCAGAGCATACACACACACACACAAAACGTGTGCACATGCTACGTTTTAAAATAAAAACAGCAAAAATACCACATTACGCGTTTTACATAGTTCTGTTGAATCGTGGGGCCGACCAAATATTTCCGATACGACACTTAAACGACTTGTCCAATGTCCAAAGCTTTCAAGTGGAACACAAGCGAAAAAACACGATACTGGCAAAACGAGATAATTTTTTTGTCATATAAAGAGACGCGCCAAAAAGTCTTGTCGCGTCTCGACTCCAGACGGACGCATCACATTTGTTTTACGCAATAATTGAAATACAGTGGTACACACACTCCTTTTTTAATATGTCCTTGGAATTTTCTCTCGCTCATTTAAAAACCGCCATCGCGGCACACAGCGTGACATTTTAAAAGAATCAAAAAATCCAAAAACAGTTGTAGGCGTCAATGTTCAGCAACAAGAGGAACTGAAGAGGGGGGTGGCGGTCGATCGAACAAAATACATAAAGCGTGTTTCCCCCTATATAAAAGGCCTGCAGAAAAATGAAACGGCACAGCACAAAGTTTTCCTCGTCACCAACTATATATATGTTTCTTTCGTGTCATTTTTAGCACAGCCCTAATCCCGTGGGCGGTTAAGACCGACGCTGGACTTGGGGGGGGGGGGGGGGGAAATCGTTCGTAGTAGAGAGGGGAGAGACGAGTAGCGGCACTACTCTGAAGTACAAAACGCTGGATATGTGTGAAAGTTACACCTCTCATCCCAGGGCTTCGCTGTCAAACCTTTGTCGAACGGAACAACACAACAAAATCTCCCTGCCACGTAGAAACGTCCACCCATGCCACTTAGACACACAGCGGTATCACCACCAAACACAGCGCGCCAACCCATTTCACCTACAATTAGGGCGACAACGATCAAAAGAAACATATGGCCAAAAACGCCAACTTTCTTTTAAGCATCGTTTTTTTTTTCTCCTGTTTATGTCGGAAGCTATTAAAAATGTTTCAACCGAGTCGTATGTGTACACGTTTTCTGTTACTTCATTTCGGCAACTACCAAAGTAGATCCATTCCACCCCCCCCCCCCCCCCCAACTGAAAATAAAAACACGAGAAATAATTAACACATCACCACCACGTTGTTAAAAATAAGTTAGTCCTGCTGCGTATTATTTCATATGACCTGACGTGAAACTCGAAGTGTGGAACGCACACACGTCTTGGCGCTCTCAAAAGCGGTCCCCCCGCCCCTCCCAAACCAAAACCCAAAAAAGCCTCAAGTCGCCGTTACACAATTTCTAACACATAGAAAATATATACTCGTTTTGTAGTCCAACAAAAGGGGAAGAGGGAGGTGCAGCAGGGTTAACAGGTGAATCACAAACCACCGCGCAGTGTCTGTGTGCGGGTGTGCGCGCGTGCGTTGCGAGGCCTGTGCCAGATTACGGATTAGTTTACTGTCCCCATCGTCTACCGGACTTCTTGGTTCGTTTTTTTTTCTTGAGGTTTTTTTTTCTTCCAAAAATACCAACAACAAAAAAAACCCAACAACACAAACACACAATGCGAATAATAACACGCACGTGAGATAAAAACAAACGGAAAGGAGGGGAAAAAAAAATCATTAGTCAATCATTCTATAAATTGAACAAACAAAGAAATTACCATCACAATAAAATACCACTTGGTTTTATCATTACATTAGACACAAACAAAATAACCAATGCGTTTAACATTATTATCGTCATCATGAAAAATGAAACGAGATAGCAGAAAAAAATCGTATTATTATTTTTTAACAAGAGTTCAATACACACAATCGCGCTAAACGCTGAGGGGGGGGGGGGGGGGGTGGCTGGGTGGGCTGGCGGGATGGGCAACAGCACCTCACGGCTTGAGCTCCTTCAGTGGCCCTGTGGGGGTGGGATACAGCAGAGATTGGGGGGGGGGCACAGCAGCCATGAGTAAAATACGACTCACCAGAAAACATTCTACATGCAGGCGTTCATAAGCCACAATATAATTCACGATTATGAATCCTCGCAGTGATAGGGGCTTTTGGCTGGCCATTGAACAAAGATGGTCACTGCATCGCGGTGCTTTCTGATGCACTTCTGCGGCAGTCTGGAACGCTCTTCCTTCCGATATTAGGAAACCGCTGGAGCGGTGCACTTTTAAATTCTCGATTGCAAACTCATTTATTAAAAACTGCTTTTTGTGTTTAGTTTGTTGTCCTTCCGCCCGCACCTCTCCGATTCACACAGTTGGTTACGTATGGTGCAAAAGACATTCAAGATATACATTAGGTTTATAGGTTTATTTTTGCAGAGGTATAAAACCCATTGGGGTAATAGATGCTAATTTTCAATGGAGACTTGCTACACCATAGAAATCTGGTCACCGGAGCAAAAAAAACAGTAACAAAACAATCGACAAACTGATTTAAAGCTTTCGTGACTGCAGAGATTCATATTCTTGGTTTTTTCGGTAAAGTCACGTAGAAGGGAAACAATAAAATAATAAAAAATATAAAACATTTGAATAACTGCCAATTCGCTCTCCGTGGTGGTAACGTTAAAAAAACGTGGTTTTCACACCTGATGATGATTGCTTGTGTTGCAGTCGAAACGTCGTGGGAATTTTATTGTTTTATGTTTTTTATTATTTTATTGTTTCCTTTCTACGTGACTACCGAAAGAACCAAGAATATGAATTCACAAACTGTAATCTCTAGCAAAATGTAGAATAAAAATTGCCAACATTCGCTTTTCAACACTTCAGTTTGTATTTTGATTTAAAGCTTTCATGACTGCAGTAATTCATATTCTTAGTTCCTTCAACGTGACTTTACCGAAAGAACTAAGGATACTTCAGTTTGTGCCGATAAACCAAATCATTCGGCATATTTGCCCCCACGTGGATACTGGAGGGTAAGTAAAACAAATGTAACATGATACCCTACACAGTGATCTAACCCAATACAAATTATGAACCGCAAATAAAAGGCGGCTCTTTTTTTCCTCAATGCTCCATCAGCACCCGCATTTGTCTTATTCTCCACTGAAGCTGATGTTGCCACTGCAAAACTCCTGATTCAGTAAATAAGTGAATGTGACGAGCACAGAACCTCGTGGGGCGATCGAGCTGTGAATATACACCCCTGCCGAGGACTTCCACCACCCCGTTGCCACCAAATTATTCACGATTAATAATGTAACAAATCTGGTGTAAAGAGTATGTAAAATTAACTCCCTTGGCGAATCAAGAGGAGGAATGCGTGTCGACAAGAACAAAAATAAGGTAAAAAGTTTTCCATGCACACACTTTTATTTGCACTCAAAAGTAGAAAATACATTTTGACCCCCAAATTAATTAAATTTTACGTGCTCAATCAAAGTGGGTGGCTTGCATAAAGAAACTTAAACATTGAAGGAACGCCGCCCACTTTCATTGAGCACGTAAAATTTGACTAATTCCAGGGTCAAAATAATGCATTTTTAATTTCTGAATGCAAATAAAAGTGCGTGCATTCAAACGCTTGGTTTGTACCAATTTTATTTTGTACTTGTTGCTCTCGCGCCAAGCACAGTGGCCGCTCCAGCGCCATGACGAGCAGCGATATAAGCACTCCTTTTATTGGTCATGGGCTGGCCAGCAACAGCCGCTTTGATTGGACAAGATGTTGGCCACCGCAGGTGGGCGCGACTATTTGCGATTTCCGTGGGGGGTTCAAATGTACGATTATTAATTATTACAATTAAGTCCAAAACACGAATATCCCCATGATGAAATCTCGAATTGTCAAGCGAGATGAGTCTGTCGAAAATTTCAGCTCGTTAGACTTCATAGATCCGAAGATATGAAGCGTCAAAGAATGTAAACAGACAGCACGGCAAGTTCAATAGAAGTGTGTAATTACTTCGGCGCGATTAAGGAGAAACTAACAGCGATTCAGGGGGGGCTTGATCCAATCAATAAATGTTAGTTATTTCCCCCACTATGCCCATATACAACCTCCAGTGGTAAGAAACACACGTGAAATGGTAAAGAATAAATTCTTACAATTTGATTCACAAACTTAAGAATCAATATTGACGAATCATGGATAAATGCAGCAGTGGAAGACATGTAGGTCAATGTTTATAAACTCCACGCTATGTCCCCCCACCCACCATGATCCACTGTTTCTTAGTTATCAATCTTATTCATATGCAAAGCACACACCTGAAAGTTGGTATTCTAAGAAAAAAAACGTTCCGTGGGGGGTGGGGCGGGTGGGTGGGTAGCACAGTGTTTGACACCCGCCACTGGTGTAGGCGACAATGACGGAGGGGGAAAGGTGGCTTTACCTGCGGCGCGTTGGGGTTGCCCTGAGCCCCACCGGGAGCGTAGTACGCCTGCTGGCTCTGCTGCCGGTAGTACTCGGCCCAGGCGGCACTGTAGTCCGGCTGGCCCCCCTGCTGCCCTGGCTGCCCCTGCTGCTGCTGCTGCTGCTGCGACCCAGGGGCCGCACCACCGCTGCCTTGTCCCTGGGCTTCGGCTGGAAGCAGAGGGGAGTGGGTGATAAACAGCATGCGGAAGATTCGTAAATCGCATCGGAATGGACCCCCCCCAGAGTGGATTCCGTGACCCGCCATGTACAACAGCCATGTGCCTCTGCGTGTTTTGTGCATTTTTCCCCCCTAATTAGACCACTACGGAGGTTTTTGCAACTGTGAGTTTGTACGTGTTGAAACGCTCCTGCAAAACTGCTCCCGAGCAGGTGGAGCGAAAACATAGGACATCGCGCCAACCAACACGGTACAACCAAAAACCAAAAAAGAAACATCCGTCGGGGAGAGAGATTTTTCCTCATGGTATTTTAACTGCGGTTATCAGCATCCTGTTGCAGGACGTTTCCACCCCGGGGCTCTCGCCGAGGGCGCCGCATCACCCGAGTTAAGGCATCTGTAAGGCGTCATCAACGATCTGCTTTAAAAAAAATCTAGATTGAAAACTAAAGTTCTATAGAACTGCTTTGTGCGTTTTAGTTTGTCCTTCCCCCGCAACCGCCGATGAGCACGGTTGGCTACGTACTGTGCGAAAAAAGTTCAACATGCAAACATAATCCACGCAGTGTAGGTGATGGTGTCATGTGGCATGCAAGTGACCTCTAATCCACACTCACTAAGGTCTGACTTTCCATGCTTTTAGGTATTTGTCATTGACATTGAAACCAAGAATATTGTCAAATAAAAGATAGCACAAAATTCACCATGATTTTTTCATGCAGTCTCTGTGGCAACTAGGCCAAGACCACCGAATCGTTACGCCTGAAAAGCTGGTTTATTCGCTGTCCGGTGACCGGACTCAAACCCAGGTTCTCAGCGGTGAAGACTCAGTGCCCAGACACGAGCCATCTGAGACACCCATCCCCGCCCTACCTGCGTCGCATAGCGCTTTCAGATCGCGCTTCTGCAGCCGTCTGGAACGCTCTTCCTTCCGACATTAGGAAGCCACTGGAGCTATGCACTTTTAAATAATCTAGATTGACGAACTCATTTCTTTAGAACCGCTTTTTCTGATTAGTTTCTTGTCAACCCCACACGGTTGGCTACGTACGGTGTGAAAGGTGTTCTACTTACATACATTTTGGTGAATGCGAGATGTCTTAGAACAGAGAGGTGAATCACCCACAAATGTGTCACAAGGTACCCTTGGTTAAATGTATATCCCAAACCACAAATTAACTCTCGTCTCGTAGACATATACCTAGGCCGTGTGCTATTTATTATTAGGCTTGTTATTGCAGAGAAGCCCGAGTCAAACGACTCATTGCAGGAGGGTCCTGCCATGTTTTTGCCGGACAGGGCGATGATTACTACGCGCATTCCAGGTTAGTAATTTGCGGGTAATTTTTCAACTTTAGATCGTGATGCAGGAGCACACAACCTACACCGTGGGATCTTTTAATTCCGCTGTGAAGCAGACGGTTCCGTTCGCATTATCGCGGTTAATTCACCCGCAGCATTAACCAGGGCAGCTGCTGGATTAGAAATGTGAGCCTATACAACAGCGGCGAACGCGCTACCGTGAGGGCAAGCTCAAAGCTGCCTCCTGTTCCAGGCTGTCCTAACACATCTTTGCATTTTTATTGAGATATTAGGACATTATAATTGGTCAGACATGCCAACATAGCACACTCAATCAAATCAATGATTGATGTGTTAAAAGCGTATGCAGGTGACGCCTTTTTTGTGCCGTGACAAACACACGTATTCATGAATGTAATATACGATGTGTCATTAACGAAGCTTCGTTAATGACAACTTGTGTCAGATCGCCCAGCTATACTGGAGGACAGTAAAGTAACTAACTGCTAACCTTCAAATCCAAAACACAAGCATTTGTCTTGTCAATATAGTTTGGAGCACTGCTTGTAATCAGGGCATTTGGGGAAATGGTCTTTGTGTTAATTACCTAAACAAATACGCACAGGCAAACGTTGATGCCAAGTAAATTTCTAAGGTACCAAGATAGTCTTATTCATAATCAAGTGGAAGGCCCTGAAGATTTGATGCCCCCTTTTCACAACTGCTTATTTAACTACTGTATACCCAGGTATACAGAGAAACATGCCTCCTTGGAACATACTGTCAAGTCCTATCTATATATAAATGCCCTATTGCTCACAAATAACAAAAACGCTTGCCATAGCTTACCCTGCTTTTTATAGTATTCCTCCCAAGCCTTGCTGTAATCAGGCTGCTGGCTGCTTGGATTCTGCTGACCTGCAATGGTGATCATGCACGCACGCACACGCACTAACAGTGATTCACCGCTAAAGCAGTTGTAACAGCATCATCATCGCACACGTAACCAGGGGGTTAACGTTAACTAGGTTAACGTCCCCTTGAAGGTAACGGAGGATTCTGAATACGGCAGAATGGATGAGCTTAAACCGCAAAGCAGCCGATCTGTTAGGTTGGGAAGAACTGGGGGCAAAAGGTGAAGGGAGTTCAAAAGCAGAACTGCCAACACTGTGCCCCGATGGCCTCATTGTTAGACCAGTCATGGGAGATGGATGGAATAGTCACAGGACAACACAAACCTGCCTAAGACTCCTGCACGTGTTCACTTTGAAATGGGATTGTTCGCATGGAGCTGTCACATGCCAATCAATCTTTGACTTTACAAAATAGTGAGGGGATAAGGGAATGGGGGTCTGTACTGAGACGCGTGGGTACGATTTGGCAACCACTGGCGACATGCCTGCAACAGTGTTGCAGTCTCAGCAGGTGACACTCATCTTAAAGACCCCGGAATGATGATGCGATTTCGTCAAACCCCGACTGGGATTTTAACTCATTTCGTTATAAAATGGCAGCTTACTAGCCAATCAACTGCACTACATTCTGAACATTATTTCTACCCTACATACATAAACACACACACACACAAGGTAACCCAAGAGGAGTCGTCGTACCAATTTTCTTGTAGTACTCTTCCCATGCCTTGGTGTAATCAGGCTGTCCGTTCTGCCCGCCTGCTGGCTGGCTCGGATCTGCCGTTACACAAACACAGAGGTCAAACCTTGACGGGAACCAGATGCAGTGATCAGTTGGCGTGCATGGCGAAGAATGAAGCGCGGGTCTCACCAGTATTACAGAGCAGGAGTAGCTGAAGGTACCAATGATGATGCATTGTTTGCAATGCACCGGCTGATGCATGCACGTACAGAGACTTACAAACAATGCCCTGCCATATGGTTTAAGTGCTGCAGTGGAAGTGTGGAGACGTCCATCCTGTGGTGTGAAAAGGTGTCCCCTACAACTGGTGAACATAAAGGGAGATGTACCCGTGCCTGTCGTGTGTATACAGAGGTGAACTCTACACACTGTGTGTGTGTGTGCAGGAAATGCCACTAAACTGTCGCGCGTGTGTAGGTAAGTGTACCTACACCCTTCTCTTGTGTGTGTACACATGGAAGCATACCTACACCCTTGTTGTGTGTGTGCACAGGGAGGTGTACCCGCACCTGCTGTGTGTGCACGTGCGTGCGTACAGGGAGACTCTCTCACCTGCTGTGTGCGCGGGGTTGTGTTGCGTGGGCTGCTGTCCGTAATACTGGGCGTAGTATGCAGCCCAGGCGGCAGAGTTGGGGTCTCCTGACTTACCTATGCGTGTACACACACAGATATTATTATCGTGACTAATTCGATAAGGAAACATGGCAGATTCCAATCCACCGCTGGGTGAAGGCTTCCCCCATCTCGTGTCAGTTATGGAGGATGTTAGCCCATAACACCACGCTGCTCGATGTGGGTTGGTTAAGAGTATGACCAGAGTGTATTATTGGTGGTAAAAACTAAAGTTTATGCACAGTCCATTCAGCTTGTGAAAAGAATAGGTTTCTAAGTTATTGCGCATTTGAATTTGTGCCTGAACGTCTCTTGGAATGGTAACTTATTTGCTCAAATTAAGCCAATAGAATTTTTTTCATTCGAAACTTACGAAGCAGGATGCCCGTATTGAAGTACAAAGGTGGTAATTTGACCAATTAATACAAATAATTAAGAGTGTATAATTCTAAAAACGTTTGTATAACTTTGCAGGCATGTCGTACGTATGGCAAGTCCTCACGAAATGCGTTTTTGCTGTTAACGGCGGTCCTTCGATTTGGAAAAACTTGTAGCAGAACACGGAATGCGCAGCCGTTATGAAGCGGTTTCTGAGCTAAAGTAGCTCGACAACGAACTACTTTCTTGAGCTGCGCAGCTGAGCAGTACGATACAGTACGCGGAATTATACAGTACGCAGCGTAACCTCATCTCACTTCTTTGTCCTGCCATGGGATGACTGCAGGTTGATTTTCAAGTGAAAATGTGATTCAGTAATGCCACGCTTCACGTAATTTTCGGTTTATGTAGCACTTTTCAGGCACGCATCTACCATTTTAAACGAGGGATTACTGTACAACCTATAGCGAATCACAAACCAGATTCTTGAGCACAGCAGAGGCATGCATACCTTATTACCAATAGACGTCTCAAGGCCACATTTCCAGTGATTTTAGAATGCAATAATGGCACACTTTACATAAGTTGTAAAACTTCCGTTCTCTTTAACAAAGCTCATGCAGACGGGGCACACGAGTCTAACGGCTGTTAAAAAGTATCTTGTGGTTGAGTCTTCACTTAAGTGAATACCTGGTTGTTGCTGGTTTAGTACCACAGCATTATTCCCCAGTATATCTAAACACCAGTGTGTGGTGGCATGTATCCTCGCTCATGCAGCACTACTCACTGGGGTCTTGCGCAGCAGGGTTCTGCTGTGGCTGCTGCTGCTGCTGCTGTTGTTGCTGCTGCTGCCCCTGTGCCCAGGGTTGGTATCCACCGGGCCACCCACCCGCCTGGGGAGCGAAGGCCTGCCCGGGTCCACTGCAGCATGGAGGGGGATGGGGGGGGGGTAGTTAAGGACGCATGCACTAGTTAAGATCTGGTATCCACACACCAGGGCTGCAACAAAGCATTCCTCGTGCATTCAACAACACTCGGCTGTAATAGTTCACAGGCCTTTGTCAATCTACTGCTGGATGACGCTGACCCCCACTGTGCTGCTATAAATTTCCACATGAGCCACTTCGTTGAGCTATCATTTGTGTTAAGGTCGCATCTGAAGAGCTATATAGAGCTCAGTGGGCCTTACCTTGTAAAATAAAAAAGTTTAGTTTAAATTTATATGAAGTCACAGGTTTGTGACCATACTTCACCACTCTGGTGAGTGTTGGATCCCCCCAACGATCTTAGCTGTGGCCGGGAATCGAACTTAGATCGCCGGGTTCATATCTCAATACAGTAACCCTACGCTTCACCCAACACTCAGCTTTACACCAACGCTTATCAGTCGCTAGCAAGATATGTCTGCAATTAGATGGTGCAGTGATTAGGACATGCAAATCACAATAGGAATTTTGGGAGTTCAAATACCGGTCAGAGGTTGACTTTACCCATCATCCTTGATAAAATAAGAAACGCACGGTGTGTAGGAAGTTAAGCGTTCATCCTCTTACAGAGATTGTCTCAAATCCCAGTGAAGTTAGATGTCCACCACCAGCTCACTGGAGCAGCCAAGTGTGATGGCATACCTTGATGTTTTACCACTAAAAGCAAGAGCAGATATGGGAATGGATGCATACAAAAACCGGCTCAGTGGTCGGTGGTCTGCCTGCTAGTGCCCAGCCACCAACCACGACGGTAGCAGAATGAACGTCACTTACTTTTGGTGAGGAGGGCCTGGGGGTCCCTGGCCATAGGGACCCTGTCCGAAAGCGGCAGGTGGTCCCCCGAAAGCAGAAGGTCCCTGGGTGACACGAGAGCATCAGGGCAGGTGAGAAGAGGGGCATTGGACGAGCAGACGGGAAGCGCACAACCATCGCCCCCCAAAGTTAAGTCGGCTACAACTCCGCACACACCTGTTAAACTAGGGCCTCCACATTTGTTGAGAGAATTAACAATGACACCGTGCAAGAGTGCCATAAGTCAAGGCACGAGGGCAAAAATAATATTCACTGGAACTCTTTAGTTCACAGAAATTTAACATGGTCATGAGGGCAAAGGCCCTGGCGGAGACATCACAGGCCTGTGCCATATACATCCTTTACCCAACACGGGTAATACTCAACCAAACTCCTTATGTTGAGATTCGCCTAATCTTCCAGGAGAACTTGTATTTACAAACTTTGACCGTTAAATCTGGTGACCAGGCTGAGACAATCAACTCATGATCCTTTAAATAACTTTAATGTTGGGTGGATTTGAATCCAGGACTTGAGTGGTGCTTGCCAAGTGTACAGACACCGGACTAAGCATGAATATAACCCCAAAACCACCAAATCACACCACACAATGTATGGTCCCCCCCTTCATCAATGATATGCTCGCATGCTGGCTTAGTCTTAAAAAGCAATGGGAGCCCATGCTTTTACCAGTGCGGACACTTACCCCGAGCCCCATCTTCTCATCCATGAGGTGCCTCGCGTGGTCCACTTGCTGCGGCGAGCCCCGGATGAGGAAGATGCGGATGTTGGGATCGGTGTTGGGGGGAGGATTCCTCTGCAGCTCTACCCGTGCGCCCGATGTCTGGCTGATGTGCTTGATGGTCTCCCCGCCTGGCACGATGAGTACAAGGGTCGCACAGGTTACACGAGGATCAGATGCGGTCCAACAGGTGCCTGGATTATCACAACGAGGACCTAGCTGGATTTTGTATTATGAGAATGATTACTCGAGAAAGTGTTGTGAATAATAAAGTGACCCGACCGACCGACCAATGGACAAATGAAGCTACGTAACGTATAGATTTACACGCTGGAGTCAGGCTGCACTCGCATGGGATGTATCCCATGATGTGTAATGAGCTGCGGCGTGTCGTGCCCACCCTTGCCAATGATGATGCCACACTTCTCCGCGGGCACGGTGTAGGTGATTTGGTCCTGCATTCCTCCCGGAGGCCCTGGGCTCCAGTCCCCGAAGCCCCGCCCACGGCCGCCCCTCCCTCGTGGTCCCATGCCACCAGGGGGTCCTTCGCGCTGTAAGCACACACAGTCGGGCAAACGTGCCAATGAGGACACGTACGTATGGCAGATAAATGCAAAAAATATCCCCCCCGTTACAGCCATGCAGACTGTTGGAACAAATGCTGTTTGCGAGCATCTATTAAGGCCAACCCCAGTACACGAGAGGACAGTGTGGTCAACACATCGTCCAGGCTGTCTTTGGTAATACTCATATGGCTACGAACAGCTAGAGGTAGGACCAAGTTCTGTTATCAATTGCCAATGAAATTAGTAGTAGCCGAGAATCAAGACTCGGGTTACTAGATTCATGGCGCAGTGCACTGACCAATTTGTCAACGTTCTCAATACACTTACACTCTCACACACAGCTCACGAAAACACGCACACAAACCCAAGTACGCATCCTAACCATGCGTTCACGCAAAACGCACACGGATATAAAGACACGCAAACCCAGCTGTGATCACATGCAGACAAACTATACATGCAGGCATGTACCCACAAATATAAGCAGAGACCGAAACACAGACCACAAGTACAAATACAGTACATCAATTAAAAAAATATTTATCGCTGCGAGTGTACCCTTTTAACTTTGCTCCCACTTATTTATTTTATTCGGGTCACCCTTGTCAAACTCAATTTGCTCAGCGCCTCCTGCCCCATGTGAAACAATAGGTTACCACCAAGTGAACCAGAAGCATGGTCCACTGTAAAACCGGGTGGCTTGAATTTAATGAGTTACGCACACTGGTTGCAGGGTTTGCAAAACTCCAGTTGTCGGAACCCACCGGGCTAAGTTTTTCCACATTCACCAATTTACTCCCATTTCAAATGAACATCTAATTCAAAATAAGATTGAGATCTCAATGCGTGTGTGTACACATGTCCCACGTGACTCAAGACAGCATTAATTCCTTGGGGCGTATTTAATTATCATGCGGGGCATTTGCAGCATGGAATTACTTAATTTGTATTTGAATGGCAGTAAATTGGTAAACCCGGAAAGACACGAGCGTGGTAGATTGTGAAGACTGGAGTTTGGGAAACGCTGCACTCATGCCTGGGCCGAGTTTTAGTTGTCAGCGTCGCATGCGTTCACTTAGCACAGGGACACTCCGAGTCGGAGAAACGTGTTTTACCGCTCCAAGTATCTTGTCAAATGGGGGGAAACGTTATATACGCTTGGGCATAACTTGGCCCCGTGTGCATCAGTTCAAATATGCGTGGGCCGTTGATATTTGCAGACAGCTCTAAACCGGGGCGAGAAACTTTACACGATTAAAATGGAGGCCAAGATAAAGTGGTACCATATTCTCCACATTTTAAGGTGCACTTTTTCCTCCTGGATTTTAAACAACAATTTTTGGTGCATATTATAATATGGTAGACGTGTGTGCATGTGTTGTGACCAGATTTTCATAACTATGGACACAGGTCACAAGTTAGCACATAAGAGCCGAAAACACATTGGAGAGCTATGTACACAGTATTCCCGCGTTATTCATCAACTTGCTATTCGTGATTTTGGCTATCCGCGAATCAGAGGTGTGGGGGAAGGACAACAAACTAGCATCAGTGCTCAATGAGCTGGAGAATCTAAAAGAACTTCCCAACATCTGATCTCTACACATTTAAAAAATCACCGGCCCTCAGTGGCAGCTGGCCCTGTGGGCACAAGGTGTCCCCGGCACCCGGCCTGAAAACAGCCATCAACAGAGTAATTTGCGGGCAAATTTCAAATCTGGCAAGTGTGGACAGCTGCGTGAATGTGTGCGTGGATGTGCATGTGCAAAAACGAGCGAGCATGTGCAGTGGCCGTACCCCTTCCATCTGCATGCCATTGATGAGCTCGATAATCATCATGGCGGCTCGCTGGCAGTTCTCCGGGACGCCCATGATCTGAGCCATGCGCTCGGGCCCACTGCCGTCATCTGCGGAGCCCCGGGGGGGGGGGGGGAGACAGGCGAGTTGACGTAACCACTCGCTCACAGATCCAACGGTGAAGGTTAAACCTTCATACAACGTGCAATTTATGTCACATTGGCAAAGGTTAAACCTTCGCCAAAGAAATATAAAATTACCATAGGAATGTACAATTCTTACCACTAGGTCAGGATCGATAACAGAGCCTGCAATGCCCAAAGTTTACTCGGAGAGGCACACCAAAATACATTTCTGTTACGGCTTAAAAAACGTTAAAAGCTGCAGGGGCGAATGCTTATCTATCAATCATTCCTCATGCATGATCTTATCCCCCATTTCAGCACAGATAAGAGGTATTGTTCATCATGTATCATCTGGCTGGACACGTCTGTTTTGTGCCTGGTTGTTGCCCATTCAAGCACTATCCAGGCTCGACCAGTCCCATAGTATGACACCTGGGTCTATCCCATGACCTCCTGCCAACGGCCGTTTCGACACTTCATGTGGCCTTAATGTGCACCTCGCCTGGTGCAAGTGCCATGGTGATGTCACCACCACTTAGTGGCGAATGACGGTTGCTGTTGTTGTGATGAGGCCCGAGGAGGATTAACTGTCATGCACCCCATTTTCCCGTGTTTCTGTAAATCGAATATTGAGCGCATTCCAGGTGAATTTGGTCATCGGCCACAACACCAATGTGCCACACCCTGAGCAAAGAGACTCACACCACCTATAGTGAGGGAAAAAAGTATTTGATCCCCTGCTGATTTTGTACGTTTGCCCACTGACAAAGAAATGATCAGTCTATAATTTTAATGAAAGGTTTATTTGAACAGTGAGAGACAATAACAAAAAAATCCAGAAAAACGCATGTAAAATTTGATTTGCATTTTAATGAGGGAAATAAGTATTTGACCCCCTCTCAATCAAAAAGATGTCTGGCTCCCAGGTGTCTTTTATACAGGTAACGAGCTGAGATTAGGAGCACACTCTTAAAGAGTGCTCCTAATCTCAGATTGTTACCTGTATAAAAGACACCTGTCCACAGAAGCAATCAATCAGATTCAAAACTATCCACATAGCCAAGACCAAAGAGCTCTCCAAGGATGTCAGGCACAAGATTGTAGACCTACACAAGGCTGGAATGGGCTACAAGACCATTGCCAAGCAGCTTGGTGAGAAGGTGACAACAGTTGGTGCGATTATTCGCAAATGGAACACAAAAGAACTGTCAATCTCCCTCGGCCTGGGGCTCCATGCAAGCTCTCACCTCGTGGAGTTGCAATGATCATGAGAACGGTGAGGAATCAGCCCAGAACTACATGGGAAGATCTTGTCAATGATCTCAAGGCAGCTGGGACCATAGTCACCAAGAAAACAATTGGTAACACACTACACCGTGAAGGACTGAAATCCTGCAGCGCCCGCAAGGTCCCTCCTGCTCAAGAAAGCACACATACATGCCCGTCTGAAGTTTGCCAATGAACATCTGAATGATTCAGAGAACAACTGGGTGAAAGTGTTGTGGTCAGATGAGACCAAAATGGAGCTCTTTGGCATCAACTCAACTCGCCGTGTTTGGAGGAGGAGGAACGCTGCCTATGACTCCAAGAACACCATCCCCACCGTCAAACATGGAGGTGGAAACATTATGCTTTGGGGGTGTTTTTCTGCTAAGGGGACAGGACAACTTCACCGCATCAAAGGGACGATGGACGGGGCCATGTACCCTCAAATCTTGGGTGAGAACCTCCTTCCCTTGGCCAGGGCATTGAAAATGGGTCCGTGGATGAGTATTCCAGCATGACAATGACCCAAAACACATGGCCAAGGCAACAAAGGAGTGGCTCAAGAAGAAGCACATTAAGGTCCTGGAGTGGCTTAGCCAGTCTCCAGACCTTAATCCCATAGAAAATCTGTGGTGGGAGCTGAAGGGTCGAGTTGCCAAACGTCAGCCTCAAAACCTTAATGACTTGGAAAAGATCTGCAAAGAGGAGTGGGACAAAATTCCTCCTGAGATGTGTGCAAACCTGGTGGCCAACTACAAGAAACGTCTGACTTCTGTGATTGCCAACAATGGTTTTGCCACCAAGTACTAAGTAATTTTTTGCAGAGGGGTCAAATAGTTATTTCCCTCATTAAAATGAAAATCAATTTATAACATTTTTGACATGCGTTTTTCTGGATTTGTTTGTTGTTATATCTGTCTCTCACAGTTCAAAGAAACCTACCATTAAAATTATAGACTGATCATTTCTTTGTCATTGGGCAAATGTACTAAATCAGCAGGGGATCAAAAACTTTTTTCCCCTCACTGTACATTAAAGCAAACTGTCTGGCATATATTCCACCAACACAACACAATGACAAAGATCCCCGTAATTGCTTTGACAGACTGTTTGTGGCAAGCGCCGTTAGTTAGCACCTAATAAGGCCGGCACAGCACACGAGCAGGCTGGGTGGCTGAAACCACGCTCGGTCACCTTTGTCTCCCCAATAACGGTGTTTACACATCACACCAGGTACTCATGCAGGGGGCTGAGAGGACCTACAGGAGAACAAGGACGATTTCAAATATTCGTCACCGTTATTGGTCACAAGAGTGAATCAAACCTGGGTCGTCGGGTTCGTAACGCAGTGCACCAACAAATGGATGAACACTCCCCACAACAGGGCACCAGCGGGAGGTACTTACCAGGCTGAAACTGTATGCGGACTCCAGCCTCGTTCTGCAGCTTCTTGATCATGTCACCACTTCGGCCGATAACCACGCCCACCGCAAATCGAGGCACAGCGATCTGTATGCATGCACACACAAAGCCACAGACCAAGTCTTCCTGTTAAAGCCTTAAGAGACAGCTGGGGCAGCATATTGTGTCAGCTAGAAACTGAATAACAGTAAAGGACTGTACAAAAGTACCGAGCCTCGATTTGACTACGGGGGTGGGAGGCGGAATTAGCGGTTGGATGGCCAGGGATAATTACAGACTGTGCAGCCAGCAAAGGAGGATGAGCGACCTCCCACTGAGCCAAGATTGAAGGAACGGATGGCAATGCCCTATAGAAGGCTCCTGAATAAGAGTGGCAAAGCAACCTTAACAGTTGGTCCAGAATATCGCAAACCAGCGCAAGCATCTCAAGCGCTGAGAAGACATGGCTGAATTTACAAGTACTTATGAGAACCATATGGAAAAAAACCCCATATTTCTCAAATACAATGAGATGAGCCTCTTAACCTTGCCCATGTACGCAAGATGAAGGAACTAAGTTTGGCTCACCTTGACAGACTCGCGGCCTCCCGTCCGGCCTGCAAACTCCCCGAACCTCTCGCGGTGGTCCTCCTTCCTGAGGAACTCGATGACCATCTCCTTGGCTTGCTGCAGGGACACGTACGCACGCACACGCTCAAGGACATGTGCACAAACGGGCTCACAGACGCACCAACCCAATGTGGCGTCGCCGATGGAAGCGAGACAACACGGCAGCAGTCCCCCACCGGGCGATGCGGTGGGCAGGCGAACGAACCAGCCCCCCGCCCCCGCCCCCCCCCCCCCCCCCACCGCTTAAGAGTTACACGGCTCAAGCCCATACACGTACGTAGAGCCCTTCTCTATCAATCCACGCACGCCTCCCCACACCGTGCGGATCAGGAAGGTTTATTTGATCGTACTTTGCTATCTGATCCTACTACGCCACCACTGATCATCGCGAGTTGGTGTCAGGGGGAATGGACGTTGGTAGGGGCGGTGCATTTGAGAACAGTAAAACAATGCCTTTCGCTGCTGCACTGCTCTCTGCGGCCCACAAGATAGTCACGCAGCCTATAACAAATGTTGTGTAGAATGATTGCCAAGCCAAGCACAATCTAGGCTCGACCTGGCTTAGATTTGTAGATTCTAAGAGGTTGGCTGCATTACGGGCAACTTGGTCACAGGCCAGGCTGTATGGGGTCCATAGAATGAGTACCACTTCGTGGGACGTCAAGTGGTTAACCCTATGGAGGGAATGTTTCCTGACATACGGATATAAGGGGCAGTGGCCACTTCTGTGCTTCAAGATGCACGTTTAGCATGATTGGCTAAATTGCAGCTAGAAGTAGCAATGGCACATACGAAACTAAGGTTATCGATGAAATCTCACCTGAAGAAACGACAGCCGTTTAAAATTAACAGGTAAAAAAAAAATAACTTATTAAAAAGTGGGTGGGACAAAATTACAAGCAAGCAGAATTCATCTTAGCCCGAACAGGTTTTTTGCTTTAACCAATTACCGAGCTTCTGGGAGGCAGCCTGCCCTGCTGCAGTGGCGGCACACCGACCTGGACTTTGTAAGGGTCGCCGGTGATGCGGAGAGGTTTATCCACGCCCGAGTTCTGCCGGTTGTCCTGGATCATGACCATCTTGACACCAGCACGGTCCTGATACAAGTGGGTGGTGCGCGCATGCACACACGCACACACACACAGGATCACGTAAATTATTAGGCATTTATTACTCCGCTTGTTTACCCAAGGGAAGTCTTAATACCACTGGGCAAAAGGAAAAGGTTATCTGATGTAGTCTTCACGAACCGTTAGGGCAAGCGATTGACAAGGCCTATGATGTTGCCGGACCCATCACGCGCTGGGAAACGACACCTAAGAATGACCATACCCATCAGCCGAGTTGGATAGATTAATCCAATGAGAAATCAATTTCGTGAGCCCAGCAAAAGCGTGCGTAGAGTTTGTGGAGACACGGCGTGCGGCGGCACGGCACGTTTGCGGGGTACACTCGTACCTGGAGTTGCCGGATGGTCTCGCCTCCCTTGCCGATGACCAGCCCCACCTTGTCGGCAGGGACAATGATCTCGACCATTCCATCAGCGCCGTTCTCCGAGGGGCCCCCGTTCCTGCACCGCTCGATAATCTGGTCGATGAGACTCTTGGCGTGCCTGGCACACGAACACGACGCCAAGCAAAAAATAAATCACGCTTACCACATGCAAATTATGCAGTTCTTTCCAACATACTTTAAATGTTACCACGTAAAGCCCACTGAACTATATAGCACTATTCACAAGTGACCTGGCCGCAAATGATAGCCCCAATGAAGTGCCCTATCACGTGGAAAAACCGGACGACCAAGAGAAAAATACACGTGACCACACGACGGGTGACATGTGACATCACAAGATAATGTTGCACACGACGTCACTGGAAAGGACAGCGTGAGCACATAAGAGGTTTTATTGCCAAGTTTTGGGTAACCCTTTCACAAAGTCGCCTGGCTACACATACAGGGCTAGTCCCCAACAACAATAGAACTGCAATCTAAAATGTAATCTATACTGGATCATCTGAGAGTTACCGTGACTCCACGTTACAGCAATGCAATACATGCGGCGACCAAGAACTTGTGCATATATTTGCTTTTTCCCATAATTATCCACAATAATGACTTCCGGGTCATCTCCCAACCTGACGTGCGATTCCGTTTCGATGGAGCCACGCGACCAATGGACGTCAGTCAAGGGGGGGTGGGGGGGGGACAAAGGAGATGAGGATCGCTGCGCTACAGTGCATGCAGCGCGGCGAGTGCGTCACTCACTGGATGGCCTCGGGCGGTCCCATGAGCATGCACGTGCGTTCCATGAGGCCAGTGGCATCCACAACTGCATCTCACACGCGTAAACGCGGCCAGACCGAAACGGGTTACACACAACACTCGCAGGGGAATGAGCATCAAACAAAGCAGAAACAAAACAATAACCACCGCTAACACTGCCCGAATAGGAAATACAGAGGAGGCTGGTACTTCAGGTGACAACCCTTCGCAGCAGAGTGACTTCATAGAAGGGCCTTGGCACAAAAAGTCAACCCATGATATAAGTTTCTGTTTCCAAAGATGGCTTACAGCGGTGGCCAAAGGCTCTTATCAGAAAAATGGCCACTGATCAAAATGTGAGTATTACTTTATATATTTTCCTGTTACAAGGCAGTGTTCATGATGCGGAAGGCAATATTTGTTTTGCTTGCGATTGTTCTCCACCTGTAACGCAGACCCTTAACATGTATTTGTCAGCCTGGGACATTTCTCTAACAATTCTCAATTTAGATTTGCAGTTTTGGTGACTGCAGAGTAAATGTTTGGCTCTGGACCATTGAGGTACTTATTCTGAACTTAAAAAAAATAAAAATATGCCTTTAGTTAGGCAATTACGGGCCCATGGTGACCCGGTTGCTCAAGCACATTGGTTGTGATAGTTTGGAAAAATCTGTTTTCGAAATCCAGCCAGGTGGCACTTTCGTTGAGTGCACCCAACACACAAATGGACAAATTAGCGCTAAAAAACAGTTGGGATTTTCGGGTTAAATTGCATAAATGTGCCGTTAAACCACCACCACCTGATACAGCCAATTAGTGAAGTTTGTCACGTGACCAAAACATGCCAATTAGCTATTACTTCAAGCACATCGGTGTGATGGCGAGTAAACCCACAACATTTGCAATTAATTGAGTACGACCCTTTGCTAGGGATTACAACCAGCTTCATTTGAGCAGTTGGCGATTGACTCATCAACCCCATTATCATCATCATCGCCAATTGTGAATCAAGCTAAATCAGTACCACTACGGGCAACCCGCCGTGATGGTCCCATGGGACCCCTAAAAAACAAGGTGATATGTTCACCAATGGCTCAGGGCCATCAATGGAGTTGTATGTATGTAGCCAACCGCGCTAATCGGTGGCACTGAGTTAAGCGAGTGCTGCCACATGCCTTGTATGAGCAGAAGGCAGCACACACTTCAAACTTTTTTTGCAACGAGAATAATTCTTGTGCATTATTACTGTGCACAGCTCAGCAAGGGAGAGCATTGTGTGCATTATGTTATACCTGGTGAGATCTGGATTTTGCAGCCGGTTTCAGTCTGAAGCCTTGAAACTTGCTCACCGCCCCTGCCAATGACTGTGGGCAATGCAAATGTGGAGAAAAACATCACTTGAGAAGGTGGGGAGGGGGAAGCAGAGAGAAAGAGAATCTTAACAAATCACCAATCTGTGTAAACGTGTGTGTGTGCGCTTGCAGCTCTCAACAAAAAGATACCCGTGTTCCTATAAATGACCGACCTTGACTTGGCCCATGTCTCGTCACTTATATAAGTAGTTTAATTATGAAAATGTTAAACATATCAGCTGCCGCTAGTTTATATCACATACAAAAGCCTTTGTTACAGATTCATTGCAATTACATCCCATGTTATTTGGCTGTAACGGTGGTGTATTTATACAAAATACGACGTAAAATATATGAAGGTGGAAATAATCAAAGCATAATAAAAAAAGCTAATATCACCAAAGTCTTAAAACAATTTTTTTCAAGAGGGTCCCTTTGAGTGAGAAAATTCCAGAAAAAACCCACCACAATCCAAGGGGGTAACAGTCACTGTGCCTTGCACACAGAGTGTTCAAGAATCCACTTCTATACTACCATCTGTTTATTTCACAACCCAAGGCTACAACACCCTAGCACTTTTAGGGAGTCTCACATACATGTACTAATATGGACCAACCCTGCTTAGATTGAGATCTAAGGGATCTGACAGAGGGAGATCTGGTTATAAGCACAATCACCCCAGGTTACTTGTTGAAAAGAAAAACTATCCTTGCATCTCTTAAGTTCTCACCTGGTTAAATAAACACACTTTTAAAATGTACATTGCAGGATTCGAACCCAGGTAATGTGCCTCATTTCAAAAGCAGCTTCACTATGCCCCTAAACCAGATGTGAGAAATCAGTGGTTGGCTGGCCTGTGGATAGACTTGTCTCCACCAGGGCAGAGGCACCAGAGCGCAGTGCTTGTTTAACCAGGGAGACACGTGGAGATTAAACATACAAATCATGACGGGGGAAATAATGTGAATGGGTGGTAACAACAAGCGTGCGTATGGGGGCCTCGAGCGTGTGTTGTGTGTCACTGCGTCACTTACTGAATCCAACCATCTTATCGGGGATTTTCATTTCCTCTGTTTGGGCCCTGTCAACGAAGCACAACAAAAACAGGCAGAGGTATTACAATCACCCACGTGATTTGCTTTTCTGTTTCACCACAAAGAATTTGGCAACAGCAATACGCACATGTACAGGTACAAAGCTTATGTCAATGTACTGCTGGATAAGGGTCGCCCCATGCTGTGCAGGTCATGGGGTAAGTACAGAAAATATAGAATATTGTACTCTACTTCAATGCTCCCGCGTCTACGCTCGACATCTTCACCGACACGTATTGACCAGCTACATGAAGTATGGCTTGGTGAAGGTGGGGAGCTAAGAAGTTGAGAATGAGGAGTGCTGTGCAAGACTGCATTGATGAAGCATCAAACGTTTATTTGATGTTTAATGAAAAGACGACAAAATGAATTTCCACTGCTGGTTCGAGGTAGTTAAAGCAGACCGCTGCCTCGCTGCTTGCTTATACGTGGATGTACTTCAACCAGATTTTTTTTACTTGACACGATTAATCAGTATATCCAGCCAATGCTTCCTGGTCAAAACCTGTGTGCGCACACAAAGATCCCTCACATTGCCTACAAAGGGCAGGCACAGCACACAAAAGCAGGTGGGAGTAACTAGCAACAACACCGCAGCCACCTCCAGTCCTGATCTTTACACACCACACCAGGTTACTTAATTAAGTCTGTGTCCACCTAGGGGAGGTCCAGGAACCAGTTTAGGTACCACCACTGATAGTAGCCATGGCCAGGAATCTAAGTGAGATCGCCAGGTTCGCAGTGTAGTTTCACTCACCAATACACTATTGCACACACGCATACACACACACCTGGGGTTGAGACCACCTCCGCCTCCGCCTCCACCGTGATGGGAGGGCGGCCAGTGAGGGTCCCCGTCCGGGGAGTCGAACCGGGGCGGTGGTGACCATCCCATCTCGGGGGCATCTCCACCTCTGCCGCTGCAACGAGAGGCTGCCATTAGTCGCGGCTCGCAAAGGCGCGGCGATGGGTGGGTATGCCAAAGGCCTACGAGGTCTGGGCTTCTTCACATGGAAGACGAAACAAAAATCAAGTGACATTGAAGCAATTTTTTTTGGAAGCGAAATTAGTGATGAAAATATTAATTCGACAACGCGTACGTTGTTTTATTCAACAGTGACCATGAGTGGACACAGATCAGCGAGCATGATGAGAAATACAGCTACCCATAAAAAGAAATTCTGCCCAGAGTTTGAAGAAATGAAATTCGTGAGTCTTAATGACGAAAATAATTTAGTCGGACCAATAATGGTAATTGGTTATACGTGTATTGTTTACCGATTGGATGACTTGGGAAAATTTGTGGTGGTGGGGGGTGGGGGGAAGGGGTAAATTGGGCGCCTCTCGCACCATCATTTGAATAACTGCGAAAGCACTAAACGTGCGACTGTTTTCATCCACGAAACTATGAATAAATAAATGCCCACAAAATTAACAATGCATCACGATCCATGGTGCTCACTGCTGGGTCAGACAAGGGAAGCACAATTCCCACAGCAGCTGCCCTGGAAGTTTTACAGAGTTAGCAAAGCATGCCGCTGTGCTACCAACATCCTTCGTCATGACAAGTATATTACTTTTGCGTTGGGGTTTACAGCACAAATGCATTATTTTGAAATTAATAAACCAACAAAGTTGTAAAATAACCAAGTGGAGTAGAGAACCAATTGATTTTGCTGCCCTATCCTTGTCACATTATCTACAACACCTGTTCTTGAACATGGTAACCCATCCAAGCACTATACATGATCAAACCTGCTTAGCTTCCGAGGTCTCACGAGATAGGGTGTATTCCGGGTGATTTGGTCGTTATCAATACAAGTCATGATCCACGGCAAAAGAACCAGTCAAAATTTTCTTCTGAAAAAACTAAACTCGATTCACCACTCAATTCCGAGCTCTTGGCCACAGGACAGACCCGCTGCCATTACGGTTTTAAAATCCCCCCCCTCCATGCGCCAGGCTACACAGGTTCACACGGAGGCGGCTACCGGCTTGCATTGCAACATTGTGGGTATTTCAGCTTCCATATCGTCATATCGTAAAGGTTATAGGCCTGACATGCGGCGGCGACATCACTAGGGGGGCACTATGGCAGTGACTCTCCTGCATGTCAGCCACGGCCATGATTTCAAAAGTATATTTTTTCTGCTTTTTCACGACTCTTCCAAGTCGTGGATTGCCCATGAAGTGCAAATGGACAGGCTGACTGTGCTGTTGGATGCGCGAGTTCCACACACCTCTGCTGCTGTTGTATCGCTGCCAACTGAGCACCAATTGCTGACGAGAGAGAAAACACACAACACAATCCACATGGTGGCATTAATTCACCGGCATCACACATCGCAATTCACTAAGACATGCCCAGTCAATGCTTAGGTGGCACCTTTACTTAACATCGACACATTCACATCCTATGCAAGACAAGTTCAATACGTGGCTGACGAACACCAACCAGTGTTACTGTTACAACTTCAATCTCTATTTTCACTATAGATAGAATTTAAGACAAGCAATGTGTTTAGGGTTTGAATGCATGTAACACTGTGGTTAGATTTGTGGGTTGATTTAATAAGTGGTGGTACATGGGTGTAGACTGCTCTTTGATACCGAGCATGAGAACTGTATGTAACTTATATACAGTGAGGGGAACAAAGTATTTGATCCCCTGCTGATTTTGTACGTTTGCCCACTGACAAAGAAATGATCGAACAGTGAGAGACAGAATAATAACAAGAAAAACGCATGTCAATGTTATAAATTGATTTGCATTTTAATGAGGGAAATAAGTATTTGACCCCCTCTCAATCAGAAAGATTTCTGGCTCCCAGGTGTCTCTTTATACAGGTAACAAGCTGAGATTAGGAGCACACTCTTAAAGGGAGTGCTCCTAATCTCAGCTTGTTACGTGAATATAAGGCACCTGTCCACAGAAGCAATCAATCAATCAGATTCCAAACTCTCCACCATGGCCAAGACCAAAGAGCTCTCCAAGGATGTCAGGGACAAGATTGTAGACCTACACAAGGCTGGAATGGGTTACAAGACCATTGCCAAGCAGCTTGGTGAGAAGGTGACAACAGTTGGTGCGATTATTTGCAAGTGGAAGAAACACAAGAACTGTCAATCTCCCTCGGCCTAGGGCTCCATGCAAGATCTCACCTCGTGGAGTTGCAATGATCATGAGAATGGTGAGGAATCAGCCCAGAACTACACGGCAGGGATCTTGTCAATGATCTCAAGGCAGCTGGGACCATAGTCACCAAGAAAACAATTGGTAACACTACGCCGTGAAGGACTGAAATCCTGCAGCTCCCGCAAGGTCTAACTGCTCAAGAAAGCACATATACATGCCCGTCTGAAGTTTGCCAATGAACATCTGAATGATTCAGAGGACAACTGGGTGAAAGTGTTGTGGTCAGATGAGACTAAAATGGAGCTCTTTGGCATCAACTCAACTCGCCGTGTTTGGAGGAGGGGGAATGCTGCCTATGACCAAGAACACCATCCCCACCGTCAAACATGAAGGTGGAAACATTATACTTTGGGGGTGTTTTTTTGTTAAGGGGACAGGACAACTTCACCGCATCAAAGGGACGATGGACGGGGCCATGTACCGTCAAATCTTGGGTGAGAACCTCCTTCCCTCAGCCAGGGCATTGAAAATGGGTCGTGGATGGGTATTCCAGCACGACAATGACCCAAAACACACGGCCGAGGCAACAAAGGAGTGGCTCAAGAAGAAGCACATTAAGGTCCTGGAGTGGCCTAGCCAGTCTCCAGACCTTAATCCCATAGAAAATCTGTGCAGGGAGCTGAAGGTTCGAGTTGCCAAACGTCAGCCTCGAAACCTGAATGACTTGGAGAAGATCTGAGGCGTGGGACAAAATCCCTCCTGAGATGTGTGCAAACCTGGTGGCCAACTACAAGAAACGTCTGACCTCTGTGATTGCCAACAAGGGTTTTGCCATCAAGTACTAAGTCATGTTTTGCAGAGGGGTCAAATACTTATTTCCCTCATTAAAATGCAAATCAATTTGTAACATTTTTGACATTCGTTTTTCTGGATTTTTGTTGTTGTTATTCTGTCTCGCACTGTTCAAATAAACCGACCATTAAAATTATAGACTGATCATTTCTTTGTCAGTGGGCAAACATACAAAATCAGCAGGGGATCAAATGCTTTTTCCCTCACTGTACATAATAAAAAAATTGAATATATGCTCATGACATTCACAACATTGCTAAACATACATGCAGTGCTCATATGAGAGCTTTGATATAAAATGTATGGTTTAGCCTTCTTCTTTAGATCTTGATTTAACCCGCCAGGACAAGAGTGTCTTAATTCAAAATGCATCATATTGGAAGGACAATGGAGCACCAGAATGAGAAACTTGTGTATGTTGAGATACAGATTGGGTGTCAATGTAATTAATTATACAAAATACTCCATTGCAGTGCATAATGAGTTTACACAGCAGATGAACCTTATGGCAGTACCCTGGGGTACCATAGTACCGCGGTTCTTGAATAATGTCCGTGATGCAGTAATTTTTAGTCTGCCGATGGTTGGCGACGCGGCAATCAACTCATCTCGACGAGCTGTACACGATGCACCGCTACGGTGCGTGCGAGCGTTAAGGGTTTCAGCGCAATCGTCCTCGCTCGGTTTCGACATCGCGGAGTAGCACTGACTTCGGACCGATTGGTACCCAAGTTGCGGAGTTAAGTACACCTCTGGAAAAAAATAGTGTCCCAGAAATAAAATATTTAATTGCCTCGGCCCATTTTGTATTATTTGGTAACCCGGAGTACCGCCATAAGGATAATTTAATGTTTTTGCCAAGAGGATCCCCATTGCTCAGAGGGAGCGCTCTCAGCAATAACATATTAAACCAGCAGTACGTTAAAAAAAAGCTGATGACCAAAGGCATAACCAGTCCAGGGTTCATTTAAATGAATGTGGTTGGTTAAAGTGAAGGTCAAAACAAAACAAAAAGTATATTATTTTCATGGCAGACACACAAAAGAAAATGTATTTAATTCCTATAGTCACAGGTGACAAAGCATAAATACAATGGATGGCAGCAACCTCGCGGAACCAAGTATAGCCCTGAATACGTCGTCGGGTTGTAAACAATGTTACCACAAGAGGGTGCTTGAGACGCGTGGACAGACATGCACCAGTGTGCCACAACAAACGATTAATTCCTCCATCTACAGCATCCCCCCCCAAGAAAATAAGAGGCATTGTTTCCTTGAGTATAATGAAGACCGCATTAGCCAACAGCTGTCGAATGACAGCCGAGCCAAGTGATAAATTGCAGTTACACTATTCCTTCGTTATTCACGAACTTCCTATCCGCAATTTTGGCTGTACACGAATCGCATCTGGAACACTGTACGACTGCATCGAGAGAAAGTGACGAGAGCGAAACTTCAAGGCTTTAGAAGCATTTGCAGACGTTGCGAGGACAATATTCGTTGGCCAATGTCATTATCCGCGAAATTTGCGATTCACGAGCAGCTCCGGAACATATCCCTCGCAAATAATGAGAGAAAACTATACGGAAAATGTGCCCAAAATTATTATTACGCATTACCCCGGCAGATTTTGGGTCATAAAACCCCACGCAAATCCACATTTTGGTATAAATACAGCTTGTTTACACACTGCAGGCATAAATATGCAAGTGTTAAGAGCTCAAACGCATGTCACCCTATTAAATACCACCGTAGAGTTCATCGGTGTACACACACAGTACTGTCTAAACATATTTCTCTTTAAAAAATTATCACAAGCGGCGATTAAGATCTACGAAAACGTCGCTAAATTAGCAAATAACGCATTTCACGAAATATGTAAGTATTTACATAAAATGGCACAGCAGCAACAATACATAATAGCAGCTTAGTGCTGGTGAGAGTCCTTCTAACGAACTCAAAGATGAATATATTAAATATCCAGCTGCTGCCAACGTGCTGCTTTGAAATTAGACAAGTTTAGACGGGCACAAAGATGGTTGAAATTGACTGACAAAACATTGAAGTTCAGCATTAAAACGTAATTAGGTCGGCTACCTCTATCAAGGCCATTTATTCTGCGGTTAAAATTACTGTAAGTGGAGCGACGCGGCTTGGCTCACAGCAGCTTAATGAGTTTGTTTGGGTCTAAAAATAAGCGCGTAAAGCCCTGGGTATTAACCACATATAGTGCATCCAACAAGGGATTGGACATTTTAACATAGACGGGGACAGAACATTCACAGTCACCGTGAGACCAGGCACGGAACACGTGTTGTAACTTGAGGCGCGGGTGTACACGCAGAAATTCTCGCATGTGCGCGACGCAAACGGTACAACGAAACAGCGAGGGTCACGTACCGAATAAAAAAAAGTATTAATGTTTCCCTGCTCAAATGAGCGTGAAACGATGCCAATTTCCATATGCCCCACCGCGCTAGTAATGAAAACCCAGATTCACATCGCAGGGCCTAGTAACTCCACTGGAAAAACAAAATAAGACTCATTTACGTGCAAGGGGGTGATGATGGGCTGGGCCAACCAACCGCATCTTTGCCGACTGGGCGGCACAGCAGTAACGTTCATGCACAATGCGTAGTAGACGCATTCCGACATGGGGAGTTGGGAGCGCTGAAGGTTATGACAGAGGACTTTGTAAAAATGTGTTTGTCAAGACGAGCGTAAAATAACATTTCGCAATATAAGACACTAACCCAGAAGTGTAATGGCCAGAAACCCAAGAAGCTAGGTCAGATATAGAAAAACAGGCAAAGAAAATTGCCTAAAATACACAACATACCATACACAATCCGTCAACAGCCACTGAAATGTTTATCAAGCGGTAAGCTTGTACATTCTGTATATGCAGAGGGAAACAACAGCAAAATGGAACGTTACTCAAGAAGAAAAAACATAATTGGTGACATTTCTTGCAATGGCCATTCTGCACAGCAGAGGTGCTGTGAAGGGCCACTGCCAAACACTGTCACCTGTGACTGCTCATTCCTCTTAAGGCACTGTTCTTGACGAATGTGTTGTTTATTATTTGTTGGTATGTGTGCACCACTGACAGCGCAAAATCAACAAAAAAATTCCTATTTAATTGGGTCTCTTCAATCTGAAGCCAAGCATGAATTCGACTCTTCCATGACAAAGGAATACCTTTAGAATCCATACTACAGAGGATGCGTGGCAGCATTAATCAGGGTCTTGGTGGCTCGATACTCCCCATGTGGCACAAGTGTTTGATGGTA